CTCCTGGTGCTGCTGCGGGGCGGAATAGCCGCTGTAGCTGCGCATGCAGCTCTTGTACTGCTTTCCCTGTGTTAGATGTTCTCCATAATCCTGCTGCTGCTGCGTTTGCTGCAGCAGATACTGCTGCAGCAGGCTGATCCTGTTGCTGCTGCTGCTGCTGCTGCTGCTGGAAAGAAGAAAGAGATGGTTGCTGCGCATGCACACGAGCTCGCTGCTGCACTAAACCCTGCAGCTGCAGCATGGGGGGGTGACCCCCAGTATGAGTCTGAGGGGGCTGCAGCAAGTGCTGCTGCTGCTGCTGCTGTTGCTGCTGCTGCTGCTGCTGCTGCAGCGGCTGCTGCTGAGACGGAGGAGGCAACGCCTGCCACCAGGGGGCCCCAGGGGGCCCCCCACCCTGCTGCCCTGCAGCAAACACAACAGCAGCAAAACCCTAAACCCTAAACCCTAAACAAAGGAGAATAAAACAACAAAGACAATACTAAAAACCCTCTAAACNAAACCCTAAACCCTAAACCCTAAACAAAGGAGAATAAAACAACAAAGACAATACTAAAAACCCTCTAAACCCTAAACCCTAAACCACCAGAAGATACAAACAAAAACAAAAGAACAAAACAACCAAAAAAAGAGACAAAAAAGCAAGCAAAGCGGGACCACATCGACAACAACCTGCTGCTGCTGCTGCTGCTGCTGCTGCTGCTGCGGCTGTTGCTGCTGCTGCTGCATGCATGCAAGGATAAGAGGTGCTCACCCCCAGGCTGCTGCGGCCCCCAAACAGGCCAAGAGGGGGGGGAGCCCCCCGAGAGAGCAGGCAGACCCTGTAGCAGCGCGAGCGATGCCGCTGCTGCTGCTGCTGCTGCTGCTGCTCTTGCTGCTGCTGCTAGCCGCATCTGGGGTTACTATAAAAGACCCTAGAGTGAGGCTACTGAGGGGCTTGAAGAGAGAAGCAGCAACGCAGCTAACGAGAACAAGTGCAGCTGCTGCTGCAGCACATTAGCGTGAGCTGCTGCTGCTGCTGCTGCTGCTGCTGCTGCTGCTNTAAAGTTTTAATTTATTTTGTTTTTTTCCCGAGAAAAAAAGAAAACACAGAAACACGCCACCGGGTACATACAGCCGAGGCTCAGAATACACCCCACCGCAACAAACCCCAAGCAGTAGATACATTCATTTGCTGCTTTTTTTTCATTTATATTAAATTTATTATTTTAATAAAGACAAACAAACCAACAAAAAAGATAAAAGCTAAACAAAAACAACAACAGCAGCTCAGCAGCAACAGAGCTGCCGGAGCGCTGCTTGCAGCAGCTCCTGGTATGTTGCTGCGCCCCCCCGCGTAGAGGCCCCTGCTGCTGCTGCTGCTGTCCTTCTGTGTTCAATAAAAGCAGAATATTAATTAGTTTTTGTGTTTGTTTATAGTTTTTATATTTATTTGCTTTTTTTTACAAAGAAATCCCGAAAAAAAACGGAGAAATAAGGCCGCTGCTGCTCGTCGCTATGCACCGCACAGGAGCCTCTCTCCCCCAGCGCCTCAGCAGCAACTGAGCGCCCGGTGTATATACATAAAGACACAAAACAAAATAAAAAAATAAAAATAATATTTATTTTTATTATTTTATTTGTTTTTTTGGGTTTATTTTCATCTATTTTTGGCCTCACAGCAACACCTTTTGCTGCTACTCAATATATCTATGCTACTGCTGGGGTACGATCGCCTCGACTAACACTAAACCCTAAACCCTAAACCCTAAACCCTAAACCCTAAACCCTAAACCCTAAACTTTAAACCCTAAACCCTAACTGATAAACCCTAAACCCTCACAGAACAGCTTGTAAAGAGAGCGAGCCTCGAGGCAAAACCCTAGACCCTAAACCCTCACCCCCCTATGGCCGCGTACAGACTGAGCTACTAAACCCTAAACCCTAAACCCTAAACCCTAAACCCTAAACTGCAGATCCTTTAATAAGTGAATATGTAGAGAATAACCCTTGGAGATAAACCCTAAACCTAAAAAATCCTAAACCCTAAACCCTAAACCCTCAATGAACTGCTAAAAAGGCAAGCGATCCTTGCGTGCCTTCAACCCCAAACCCTAAACCCTAAACCCTAAACCCTAAACCCTAAACCCTAAACCCTAAAAACCCTAGATAAGTAATCATCTAGAGGACCCCTGCTGACATATAGCTTTGCGACGCAAACCGTCCTCCTACCCTAAACCCTAAACCCTAACTCTACCCTAAACCCTAAACCCTAAACCCTAAACCCTAATCTATAAACCCTAACCACCCTAGTATCTGTTAAGTGTTGCTTGTCTGCGATATTTGCTTATTCGTATTCTGCTGTAACCCTAAACCCTAAACCCTAAACCCTAAACCCTCAACTCGTTGGTGTTGCTGCTTCAGCTGGGATGGGGAGAACCCTAAACCCTAAACCCTAACCCTCAAAACCCTAAACCCTAAACCTTAAACCCTAAACCCTAACCGCAAAGCCCTAGGCCATACGGCTTACCC